GTGCACAAGTAATTTTCACGCAACGATATCCATCGCCGGTATAATCTGGCGGACATGCTCCGCATTGAGGTCCATGTGGTGTATCACGACATTCCGTGCCAGGGAAGCAGGGCGATTTATAAGAGCAACTAGGTGGTGCTGGCGTCGTAGTCATCAACGGAACTGCGGAATTGCCAAGATCAATTTCTTGACAGGATATCGTATATTCAAGAATTTTTTCGTTTGCTTGACGAATTTTTATCCGTCAGAATTTTTTCGACATTTTTTTAACATTTTTCTCTTTGCGAAATTAAATTAAGACTCGGAATCCGTTTTAACTTCTTAACCCTCGAACGATCAATTAATTTGTAATGATTCAACCGATTCTGGATTATTATATATATGTTAATAAAATTACATATTATTGTATTATTAAATGATTGTTAGTAAAAATGATACTAAAAAAGGATTAGATATAGAAAAGGAAAAAAGAAAATAAATTTTAGAAAATTATAAAATGATTTAAGGTAAGTCGTTCGAGAGTTTAAGACATTATTCAATCACTAAATCGATTTTATTGTAATATACTGACAATCTTTTTTATTCTAATTTAACGAATTAATGAATTATAAAAAAATGAATTATAAAAAAATATAATAAAAGTCAAAAATGAGTAGTACATTATTAGTAAAAAACATATATATGTGTAATGTTTTATTTGAAATTTACTTCAAATTGCATATTTACCACTCACTTTTGGCTCTCATTTATGTAATTTAACGCTTTTCTATTATTTTCCCGACAATTGTACTTGAACTTTGTGCAATTTAATTATTCGATTTATTAATTTTAACTGATTTATATGATTTAATGCGGATGTGGATTACAAAATTTTAAAAGACTCATTTTTTTTTCTAAATTTTTTAAGATCCTCTTATTATTTTAATTTTAATTACGTTTCACAATTAAACGTAATGAAATGTTACTCAAACAAAAAAAAGTCGGAATTTCTTAAGAGACAACATTATTCCATTTTGCAAAAAATATTCATTTATTGCAACGTAAGGCCATGTTATACATTTATGTAGATGATTTTTCATCATCTATAACCAATATTATTTGTACACAACTAACGTCGTTAATTAAAGAAATTGTCGCGAAGTAAACGATCAAGAAAAGCGAAAAAAAAAAAAATTTAAGAATGAAGAAACAATGGAGAATCAAGACATTTTCTTGTCGATTAAATTAATTCTTTCAATACAGCAGAACTTCACTCACCGGGCGGTTCACGACAAGCTGCACAATTTTCGATTAATTGGAGAACGCGATGCGTTTCCAATCTCTGTAAAAATACATCTAATTAAGAACAATCTATTAAATATTGAATATTGAATAATTTTGAATAACGTTATTACTCACGTTTAATTCGATTTCTCGCCAGATTTTTTTGGTAGCTCCAATCAATTCGTTCAATGTTTTTACTATCTGATTATCTGTCAGACAAACTATAAAATCATATTTTTTAATTAATCTATTTAAAATTACTTATATATTATATATTATTTAAATAATAAATTCTAATTATAATGTAAAAATAATTTTTTACTTATATATTATTAATATTATTCAAATATTAATTTATAATTATAATATTATAATTAT